GTAGTGTTTGTTGACAGTTTGAATAAGTTTCGGTGCCCTTGTGTTTGTGTCTTTGCCTTCGCAACAAAACTGTTGGAATCATTAATAGCTCCTTGGCAGCTGACAGAAGTCTATCATTGGGTTTAACCCTCCGAAAGGGTAGGTTATCTTGGGGAGTTAACCTTTTTGCATTGTTAACTGGAGTGTTTTATGCACAGGCAACTTTGGGATAGTGTTGTGATAACCCCAGGAACCGAAGCCATACATCACAGTAAAGAGATCTGGAGTGACAAATAACTCTGGATAAAATTTACAAGGCTTGAAATGTATATTATTCTTGGGTGTTCTTGTAGTTGTAGCCTTTCCCCCATCCTTTTTCTGTGGGAATTAAGGTTGTGTTTAGGCTACAGTTTTGTCTTCAAATGGAGATACGCTGTTTGTTTTATTTTCATACCAACGCTCCATTTTATAGTAGAAAAATGAGAAAATTGTATTCATAGACTAAGGCTCCATGCTTAGTAAATTTACATCCTACTTTTGGATCTATCTTGTCACGTAGAATTGGTACCTGGTTCTATGTGAAAAATGTACTTACAGAGCTGATTAAGATGCAACTTTTCTGACTTTAGGAACAGTGAGAAATGTTGTATTTATATATCAGATAGATAGATAGATAGATAGATAGATAGATAGATAGATAGATAGATAGATAGATAGATAGATAGATAGATAGATAGATAGATATGGATAGACAGACTGACAGACAGATAGATAAATAACCTTTATTGTCATTTTTTACTGTGGGCACATAGACACATTAAAAATGAAATTTAGTTGCTTGCTCTCAACGTGTACGCATACATAACACACAATTAAACATGCTATAAATAACATATGTATATGCCTACACCCTTATTTATAAATAACATATAAATAAATACTAATCACTGTCCATCTTGACTACATAACGGAAAGAGGAAGTTTGAGAGTTCACAAGGTTAATACTGTATGGAACAAAACTGTGACTGAATCTGGATGTTCTGCTTCGGATACCACGAAGCCCCCCCCTCCCAGAAGGTAACAAGGAAAATAGGTTGTGAAGAGGGTGTGTAGTGACCCAGGGAATCTTGCGGACCCTGCTCAAGCAACGCTTCTGTGCCCTGTCCTGGATGGAAAGGAGGGAACTGCCAATAATCTTTTCTGCCATCCTCATCACTTTCTGCACTGCCTTCCTGTCTGAAGCAGGGATGCTTCCAAACCAGATTGTGATGCTGTATGACAGGATGCTCCTGATCGTCCCTCTGTAGAAAGTGGTGAGGACAGGGGAAGGAAGATGTGCTTTTCTCATGTGACGCAGAAAATGCAGGTGCTGCTGTGCCCGCTTCCCCAGGGTCTCGCTGTTGAGCGACCAAGCCAGCCTACTCATTAAGTGCACACCCAGGAATTTGATGAGAAATGTACCTGAAATAAATTTGGCCTTCTTTGATGACTTTCTGATTTGGAGTGGTAGATGTCTCGATCCAGAGGGGGGTGCCCAATGAACCTCTCTCTAAGAGGAAATATGGGGTCCCTGATGCTGTCTCCGGAGCAGAGGGGATCCAAGTGCTGAGAAAGGAATGGAAAGGAAAAGCAGTGGCAGACGTCAGTTGCTTCTCTGTTCTTCAAAAATGACACCACAATACAGGAGTCATTGGACACCGAGGACAAGGCAGCTACATTGTCCTCTCTTGTGTGACCACTGCCTTGCCAAGATAACTGGAGACACTTTCCTGTCCATCATCCATTTGCCATTCAGTGCCTCGCTCCTGTTTCCCGGGATGTGGGGGCCGCTTGTTCTCTTTGTTTCGGGAAAAAAGAATTTTAGACGTTCCCAACCGTGACTTAATAGTTCTGCTGCAAAAACGCATCTCCTTTGATGGAGCCATGAAAGGTTAACATGTCATCTTCGGCCCAAAGTTGGCGAAGAGATGACACGAGGCTGCCGTAATCTGTCCATTGGGCTTTCGTGAGGGCCCAGGTCTTTCACAACGTCCGTCAGCGTTGGTTGATTTGGTAATCCTGGCTGTTTTCTGCACCTGAATATCCATCTTTTTTCACCTTCCATTTACGCGGGGTGTCTGTAGTCCTCCCAGTCTTTTGCTCTTGACATATTGTTTCCTCCTGTTGGTGGTTTTTGAAAGAAGCCCTTGTATCTGGGTCTTTCTGGCAGTAACACAAGAGGGGGTATTGCCTTCCCCTGGAAGATAAGGGGCATCAGAGGCCCAATAGCAGCTGAAAGGCCATTTGGAGAAGTTACAGAGATGTGTGAGAGCCTATTTCAATATCCCAAGATATCCAGCAATGCTCAACAATGGTTACACTTTAAAAAGAGGCCTCTCCTTTTCGGAACTGTTATTCCACTGTGGAAGTGACACGGCTGAATGTTGTGATCAGGTTGCTAATGGATTTGAGCATAGCTCAGGGTGCATATACTATTTCATGATGGCTTTACAATCTCCCCAATCTAAGACAAAGTACCCCTGACTGTCCTTTTTTGTTTGGTCTGCTTGTCAGAAGACGAAATAATTAATTAACGGGTGACCACTCTTGCTTCTCCAGCTTGGAAGGCACCCAATAATGAGTTTAGACAGTTGTGTTCTTTTTTGTTTTTGTTTTTTTAAAAAAGACTTCTTAGTGCTTCCTTGAGAAAATTCGAGTGTTCTCTTACTGCCCGGTTCCTACTCGATTTGTTGAGTTCAGACACATAAAAACCAACCTATAAAATGATCACCCATTATATTTCAGCCCCCCCCCCTCCCCGGGGTATGTGAGGCAGCCAACTCTATATGCCTGTGAGTCAGGCTGGTTTCTGGAATGATGGTCTGTATAAATTTGGCATTTGTGAGGAACATTATCAATCACTTTTCTGTTTCCTGCCAGGAATGGATCTGGCAGTTCCTCTCCCAGTCTCCAGTAAGTCTGTTTCATATCTCAATGCCGGGCTGTAAATAGCAACTACTTGAGATGAGTTGATATTATCACCTTTCAGGACCAAGTTTTGTTTTTGTTTTTAACATTGATTTATGCCATGGCGTGGCATGTTCTGTCTACTTTTTTGTGAATAAAGCAACATGTGTGGGTCTATGCTTTGGGCTTCCAGATCCTAAGGGAAATTTTAGAGGAAACTGAAGAAGGATCTAGCTTATAGATCAATCAACCAGAATAGAGCTGGAAGGGACCTTGGAGATCTTCTATCCAGCCCCCCCACTCAAGCAGGAAACCCTGTGACATTTCAGGCAAGTGACTGTCCAGTCTTTTCTTAAAAACCTCCAGTGATGGCGCACTCAAAGCTTCTGGTGGCAATCTGTTCCACTGGTTAATTGTCCTCACTGTTAGGAAGTTTCTCCTCAATTCCAGGTTGCTTCTCTCCTTGATTGGTTTCCATCCATTGTTTCTTGTCTTGCCTTCTGGTGCTTTGGAAAATAAGTTGACCCCCTCTTCTTTGTGGCAGCCCCTCAGATATTGGGATACTGCTATCATGTCTCCCCTGTTTCTTCTTTTCTTTAGATGAGCCAAATCCAAGTCCTGCAGCCGTTCTTCGTATGGTTTAGTCTCCAGGCCTTTGATCATCTTAGTTACTCTTCTCTGAATTTTTTCCAAACTCTCAACATCTTTTTTGTGATATGGTGATCAAAATTGGCTGCAGTATTCCAAGTGTGGTCTTACTAGGGTTTTATAAAGCAGTATTAATATTTGCGTGATCTTGATTCTATGCCTCTGTTTACACAACCCAGGATTGTATTAGTTTTTTTGGTTGCTACCGCACACTGCTGGCTCATAGTCAAGTGATCGTCCACTAGGACCCCAAGGTCCCTCTCACAGTTGCTGTTTTTGAGCCAAGTCTCGCCCAATCTATATTTGTACCTTTGATTTTTCCTGCCTATGTGTATGATGTCCCCAAAGAAACTTAGCTGAGATTAATTTTGAGGTAATTTGAGTATTTGTTATAAATATTTTTACTTCCTGTCCACTCTCCATTCTCAAGATTCCTTGCGATTTTTAACATTTGATTGTTTTGTTGCTCTGGATATTTTTTTTTAATTGAGTTTTCCTTTGGCCGCTCAAGTGATTTTATGTTTGACTGATAGCAAAGAGTTTCTCAAGAGCGTTATTGACGGCAAAGGAAATTTGGGGGGGGGGGAAGAAGACTATTTGAAAAAGAAGGAATTGCCTTGCTGCTCAAAGACAACAAAAAAAAAGTGAGTGCAGTCACTGGAACACAAAGCAAGAATCATAAAGTATCTTGGTCCAAGTTAGCCCACAAAGAGTTTTATCTCTGCTGCACACAAGATTACACACAAAATGGCTCAGTGCTTTGCCCTCAGCATCCTTGGAAGACAATATAGCAATGACCCTAATTGCAAAGTTATTTGTTCATGCAAAACTGAAAAAAAATCGTGTCTTTGGGACACTTGTTATAAAGCCCTAAGGCTTTTTGAGATGTTATACTTGGCTCCTCCTCCTCCTCCTCCTCTTGTTCTTGTTCTTGTTCTTGTTCTTGTTCTTCTTGTTCTTCTTGTTCTTCTTGTTCTTCTTGTTCTTCTTGTTCTTGTTCTTGTTCTTGTTCTTGTTCTTGTTCTTGTTCTTCTTCTTCTTCTTCTTCTCCTTCTCCTTCTCCTTCTCCTTCTCCTCCTCCTCCTCCTCCTCCTCCTCCTCCTCCTCCTTTCTTCAGTCGATGTACAGGTTTATGAATAATGTTGCTTGTTTTCTTTTAGCGGCAGCTTAATATAACAACTATTTGCAGCATTTTAACAGGGCTACTAATTAAGTTCTTGAGAAAAAAGTACCCAAGTAGCCCTCAATTTAAACTACTGGGATCCAGGTGGGTTGAGCGAGGGAGGGAGAGAGAAATGGAAGGAGGAAGGATGGAAGGAAATAGAGATCCTTCCTAAAATATCCTCATCTTCAATACGTTAACTGGGAAAACTGCATTCTAGGTTGAAAGCATTTTCAAAGTAACCTCTATTTCTTGGTTTGATCAGGTATTTCGTCCTGCACAAATTAACCAAGCTGAAGTTTCTGGATTCTCGGAGAGTCAGCAGCAAGGAGCGCGAGGAGGCCGTTCTCAGGGGATCCTTCATGAAGGTGGTGAAGCCCCTCGATCACCAGGTGAGCCCCTCAGGTGTTTTTTTGGAAGGGACAGTTGGCCAGAGAGCGCTCCGTTTAAACTTTTTTTTTTTTTGGTCCAGCTTTGTTCCTCTGCTGAAAATAAAAGCTAGATGGCAAAAACCAATGTCAACGTTTTATATTAAGCTGGCTAAAATTAGCCTCCTCTTTTGTTCTTTTGATTGTGTTCTGCACGGCCATTTAAGGAATCGGTGCCCCTCGGCAAGAATTGGTGGTGTCCATGGGGAAAAAATAATATCCATTTTTGTTACGTGCATTTGTTAAATGGATTAAGTTTATTAAATGAGTGCTCCCCACGTATGCGTTGACTTCGTAACATTGATTCACCTTCTTTTGATCAACTTTGATCAACCAGGTCATGTTAATTTCATAGGCTGGTTCTCACTTTTCAACCATTGGAAATGTCACCGGTGTTGCTATCGAAATAATTTGCTGGGTGAAATCAGCAAATGTTATTTTCTCAGACTTATTTTTCTATGGGTTTTTTTTTTCCTTTTCTCCCTGGCTGTTTTGTGTTACCTCTTACCTCCTTTTGAAAATTGGGGAAAAGTCTTTTGAGATCAGGGCAGGATGAGGTTTTTGCTGGAGGAAAAACTGGCAAAAAAATTCTTCTTTAGTAAGATTTCTGTTTGTTTAACCGTGTTTGGATTTCATTTTTTGTGTGTGTGTGTGTACTGACAGTGAGGCTCTTTATTTCAACCTGACAAACACTGTTCACAAATATGACTATGGCTTGTACAGGCCGTCCTCAGCTTTACAACAGCTGATTTAGTGATCGTTCAAAGCTACAGCGGAACTGGAAAAAAGGGACCAGGGATCGTTTTTCACATTTAATGGCCGTCGCAGCATCCCCAGGGTCACATGATCAAAATTCAGTCACTTGACGACTGACTCACGTTGATGACGGTCGCCGTGTCCCCCGGGGGTGTGTGGGTTTCACGTGATCCTCTTTTGCGACCTTCTGACAAGCAAAGTCAGAGGGGGAAGCTGGATTTATTTAACGACCGTCTCGCTAACTTAACAACTGGAGCAAGAAAGGTCGTAAAATGGGGCAAAACTCACTTAGCAAACGTCCCGCTTTGTAACATAAATGGCGGTCGTAAATAGAGGACTACCTGTATTGGTGGCAAGAAGAAAATCAATCCTCATTTCTTTTGCAAGTATTAATATTTTAATGGTTTTTATTAGCCGAATTCGATTGGCACCCTTTATTAATGTCTTAAAAATATTCTGGCCCTCCCTCACAATATAATCTGTAATAAGTGAAATTGTTTGCTCCTAGATAAAGGCTGCCTCCGTTCCTAAATTTGCAATGTTCTATCACTATCCATCTCCTTTCTGTAATGATAGCAAATTATGACTACTGTAGTTTTATAATCTTGGCTATCAAGTCCCGGTGCTGAAGTCTTGGGGCTTTTTCTAACAATCTCCATTCCAGGTTGCAAACAATATAATTTTTGAATTAGTTATCTGCTAAATCTTTCTCTAAAAGATGTATTTATTCCTCCAATCCTTTTAGCGCTTGGTTCCAGTTTAATGTTTTGGTAGGCTTTTCTAAAATTGCTTGCTGTCGAAATGCTAGGTCTTAGGTAGCATAATATATTACCGTTTGTAAGCATTTTAGGTGTCATAAGCACATGCCTCTTTGTGTTCAATAGAATTATTATTATTATTATTATTATTATTATTATTATTATTATTATTATTATGCTTTATTATATGTTGCCCATCTACTGGTTTATCCAAGAAAGTATGGAGTTGGCTTGAATCCGTTAAAATGAATTTGTTGCATAAAATCTGTACGGGCAAATCCTTGTCCATACCACACAGACTATTCTGGAAGTTGTTGCTGGGATGACTGCAAGTACTCTAATGATTGTCATTATTGTATTCCCATATTGCTAATCCTGGCTAAGAGGTTCAGAAAATATTTTGAAATCAGTAACAATAAAAACCACCCGTCCTTAGACACAATAACCCAAACTTCAAAGCAAGATTTAGTCTTTTAAAAGAAAAGCAATTTGTCCAGCTCCAAAAGATGATCTGACTGTAGAGTAGAGTAGAGTAGAGTAGAGTAGAGTAGAGTAGAGTAGAGTAGAGTAGAGTAGAGTAGAGTAGAGTAGAGTAGAGTAGAGTAGAGTAGAGTAGAGAGTAGAGTATTAATGCCCGAGTTAACAGAATAGACTTTGGTTGTTATCTAAAAGAAGATTTCATCAAGATTTTATTCCTGGATTTCTGCACTGTAAACCAACCATGAGAATATTCTCTCCAGGTTTCTACAAGTTGATCTTTGGGCATAATTTGGATATTATTTGAAGAAAGTTAGCTTTGAAACCCTAAGATGTCACAGAGTGGGCAGGTCCTTCTCTACCACTTGCATCTTCTGGACCATTCTTGAGTTATGAGGTTATAACTGTAAAAGAATTCATAGCAGATTTGACTCTGGGAAGGTCTACAGCAGGGGTCTTTAAACTTGGCCCTTTTATGACTTGTGGACATCAACTCCCAGAATTCCTCAGCCAGCATGCCTGGCTGAGGAATTCTGGGAGTTGAAGTCCACTAGTCACAAAAGGACCAAGTTTGAAGACCCCTGATCTACAGAAACCATCCCTTGCAGTATTGAATCACACTTTGTAGAAATGTTTGGTGCAACCTCAGGTTTTGCTACTCAGGGTTTTCCTGGTCCTTAGATACATAAAATGTTCGTATTCGGTTTGCTCCCAGTAGGATTTCAGTACTATCTATTTCCCCCTGACCGTATTCTTACACCTTAAGCGACTTCATTGCGAAACATGCCTTTTATGGTTTATAAAAAAGAAGAAGAAAAGAGGGTTATTATTTTACGCTGGTCTATGACCCCCAATAACGATGGATCGGTTGTTGTTGTTTGCACACGTTCCTCGTTAGAGTTGTATTCATTTCAAATCTACATATGTGTCAATGTGGGCGTTGATAGGGATTTGTGAGACGTGTTATCCAAATAATTATCAGAGGGGAAAATGAAATATCCTTGCAAACATTAATTGGCTTGACACGGAATTGTGCTTTTTTGAACTCTGTGCTGCCTTTATAGTCTATTTTCATGAAGTGTCTGAATTTAAGTCTAATTTTATGGTGCTAAATTGGCATCCGAGAACATGTTCAGAAGGGGGGGGGGAAACACAAGACACAAGAGTAGAGTTGCTCCACTCATTTCACTCTTGACATCACAGTCTTTAGAGAGCACGTTCGCCTCTAAAAGCAACACGGGGAATGAGACACAAGGCAGAATATATTCCTCCAACTGGCTTGCGTTGACTTATATGCAAAAGTAACTAGCAAACGGCCAACGTTTGAGGGAGCCATCAATATTTAATTTTGCCTAACTCCCTGCCTTCCTCAGATTTTTATTTTATTTTATTTTATGTTTTCCTAGCGGAGTGTGGCTTGGTTTTTCTTTGCTTCATTTCATCTTTTGTGGCTTTGAGTCTGTTTATGATGGGACTGTCATGATGGGGAAGATACGGCCGTTCATTAGAAAACAGCTTAACACATAGCAAAGCTCGGCTTTTCTCTTGCTGCGTGAAATGCGTTGAACTTCATTACCCAGCAATGTTTATATTTAGAAGTGTCAAAATATTGAACATCCGTCTGATGCTTGATTTAAAATAGAAATAAAAAAAGAGCCTGGAAGTCTAGCTAGGCAAAGGGGCATTATGCCGAACAAGGGAGCTTCATTTAATGACCGGTACTGCAATCTCGTTTTCTGGCATAAGGCTTGATCAAAGTGGAAGATGCCTGTCCAGGGTGAAGCATGTTGCTGTCTCTGACAGCTCTTCACATCAGAATGACAGCTCAAGAATAGGACAGTCAAAGTTGCTTAATTATGTCTCAGCTTTGTAATTATTCATCTCTGTTCCTGCAAAGAGCACAGTTGTCATTTCGTTGACATAATTATTAAGAGCTGTGCCCTTGTTCTGGAGACGCACATACAGGAGTACCAGCAACGAGTTCCAGGTGCAGAGGAGGAGGAGGAGGAGGAGGAGGAGGAGGAGGATGTGTGTGTGTGTGTGTGAGAGAGAGAGAGAGAGAGAGAGAGAAAGAGAGAGAGAAGAAAGAGAGAAAGAGAAAGAGAAAGAGAAAGAGAGAAAAGAGAGAAAGAGAGAAAGAAAGAGAGAAAGAAAGAGAGAAAAAGAGAGAAAAGAAAGAGAAAGAGAAAGAGAGAAAGAAAGAGAGAGAGAGAAGAGAAAGAGAGAGAAAGAGAGAAACACACACATACACACACACACACATACACACAAACACAAAACATCCATTTTAGTGTAACTTGTAGGATGCCAAGCCCATTCTCTTGTTTGAAAAGGAACACAACTCTTTCCCGCCAACCCCTATTAATAGGAAAAAGTCGTAAAGAATTCACTTTGTTCCCAATACTTCTCCAAACCAACCCAAAACCCAGAGGCATTGTATGTTTTGATCCCACTTACTCCAGAACCATAAAGGTCTACTGGTTGAAGATGGTTCCACTAAAAGTAGAGTGACTGCTGCACAACAAAGAAATGCTCTTCATAATGCCCCTCTGGACAAGGAATGTGGTAGCTACATCTTCTTTAAGAACAGCATTTTATTTGAGGATAAGCAGGAAGGAACTGTGGAAGGGAAAACTAGATAGTTAAGAGTGATGAGCAAGTTGAGTGATTTTGCCAGCCCAAGGCTGAATAGAGAAGATAGGAGCAGGTTGAAAGCTGTGTTCAGCAAGATGGATAGTCATCTTGTCAGCTGACAAACAGATCAAAGAAGAAAAAATGTGGGACTCCCAGGAGCTGAATGTAGTCTTAGACTTACTGAGTTTAAGACTACGAGGAAGCACCTAAATAGAAATACGAGAGAAGCCCTTGGAGTTTTAGATTTTAGGAACAGCTTGATCAAATGACTGCAAAAAATATACATCTTTCCATTCCCCACCCTTCAGTTTCAATGGAAGAAGCTTCTTGGATGAGAAG